CTCTCGGGACCCATGACTCACAGCGGCGCCTCCCCAACACGCAAAGAGGCAGCCTAACGAGATTTTTCTTCCTCCACAACGCATCTATCATAATGCAAGAAGAGGCTGCACTATCGAGATACGGGATGTAGCATACATAACACAACATAAACAGATTCCCTTCGACCGAGCTTCATATAACGCTACAATGCAATTTACGAGTTACGTTTTGAAATTCAAATTCTATTATGGTCGTTTTGATGGCTTCTATGAAGCAAAATCTAACGCAAACAAGCGATTTGTTAAGATTGTGACGTTTACTCAATACACCGTACTGTTACTCACACTCCTTTAACGTATGAGGTGATATAACTCACTAAAGTACCTGGTGACGGGCTGGAAAATAGGAGTTCAATTCCCTGAAGGGGCATCAATTGTTCTTTTCGCCAAAACGTCCAGGGGTTATCTTCCAAAGAGTACCGATCGTTCCACACGGGGGTTAAGCAACGACAGCGTGGAGCTGGGCATTCACATCTAACATCGAAATCTAAAATTTACCTCCATGCCTCTACACACCTTTAAGTAACTTTGTTTGGGCACAGCGGCAAATTTACCTGTAACATTGCCGATTTCTTGACTGAATGAACACTAGAGATTTAAGCTTTAAATCAGGGAATAACCACTTCACAAGACAATAACATCAGTTCTAATCGAAAGTCTGTGATGAACAGCTGTACACAGGACAAAAATTCTACAAAACGTACACAGTGATCATCTTACTCCAGAGATACGTGCATCGAGTGCCGGTCTTACCACTGGCAGCACATATTATCATAGAGTGTTTCACTATCGCCTGAAATGTAGACCTACCGACTATTTATTCAGTCAACCATTCTACACAAGAGATCCTCCCCGTATAACTTCTGTCGGTAAGAGCCTATCATGATACTATCACCTTCCCATTAAATTCTATTACCAATGTTACTACTTCTGACAGTGGTATTCTAAGTTTACGTACCAACTTTATCTCTCACTTTCAAAATACATTTCCTATATATTTGAGGAAACTTATATTGAAGATTTGTGTCTTCTGGGTTATTGCGCTGTGTAGTATGGTAGATGAATCGCTCTGATGACGGAGGCAGTATGACCTCTGAAACGTTGGTTAACATCGACCACACTACACGGCGCAACAACCCAGAAGACACAAATCTTCATACTCACCGCTGTGAAAACCTCAAAAAATTATATTGTTAGAAGTACGTTCTTCGTGCTAACAATTTCTTTACATTTTATATTAGCATGTCTCTTCCAACCTGGGTTTGCACTAACACTTTTATAGCAGAACCCAAACTTCTTGAGCTCATCACTAAGCTTTCAAGCTTTCTTTATCTCGGCTCCAGACGGATGTGAGTGGTAGTAAACTGGATGAGCGTTAGAGGTTGTAGCAGTTGTTCAGTTCATTTAATTTAATTTGATTTATGTGTTTGACAATTAGAGCCAAGCATTAAAAAACAAAATGAAAGGAAGATATTCTATGAGAATTCTCGTAGAATGTAAATAATATCGTGAAAGATAAAAAACATAAAAACACCACCCAAAAGAGTAACACAAATTAAGACAGTATGGACAAATGGAAGTTAAAATTTAATTGTAATGTTGAAAAATGTCCAGGGGCCAAATAGTTGCTGAAATTGTCTGTGTGCTTACAATGGAAACAGAAACACATCTAGCTGAGAGAAAGAATTTGAAATTGTGATTTATCATATACATAGATTAGGCGGTAATTATTATAATAAGTAAACGTATACTGATAAAAATATGGAAGAACAAACAAGTAAGTTTGTGTTTGAAGACAATGATAAGGACCAGAACATGCAGTTGTGGAATATAGCGTTGTAACCAAGTAAAGAGCGTGTTAGCAGTCGAGGTTTTGCTAACATATGATCTTGGTAGGTC